TCCATCCATCCATCCATCCATCCATCCATCCATCCATCGTTCCATCTTTGGTTCAGAAACCAGACCGACTGGGGTCCCACCCTCTCTGTGTCCCCCCCCCCAGGCTTCCACTACCCTCTGTACGGGAAGACGGCGGGCCGGGACGAGTCTGAGGGGACGGCCGGCCGGGGGGGGGCGGCGAGCAGCAGCAAGCAGCTGGCCGACCCCCCCTCGTCCTCCGGGGTGGAGCTGCTGCAGCAGCCGGGCCTCCAGTTCCAGGGAAAGTCCCCCGCTGTGAGTCCCTCTTTATTTCCTGAACAAAAAAGAAAGGTTTAGTGGTTGAAGCCCATTGAGATTTGCAGAGATTATAATAATTATCATTATTATTATTGTTATTGTTCTTGTTGTTCAGGAAATAAAAACGAATCTGATTTCTTAATAAGAAAAATTTTCTTTACTTCTTTTTTCATTTTTAGCATTTTTAATTTACCAAAACTGACTTTTTGAACGGATTGTTAAAAAAACAAACAAATATTATGATAATTATTGCTATTTTGTTCATTTTAGCCTTTTTTCTGTATTTTTTGGTAATTTTTAGCTTTGTTTTTTCCTTTTTTGGTGTAATTTTTTTAAAGCTTGGTCTTGTTTTTGCTTTTTTTGGTGTAATTCTTTTGGTCATTTTAGCTTTGTTTTTACTTTTTGCTGTGTTTTTTGGTCATTTTTAAGCTTTATTTTTTCCTCTTTGGTGGTAAAATTTGTCTTGTTTTTGCCTTCTTGGTGTATATTTGGTCATCTTAGCCTTGTTTTTGCTTTTTTGTTGTATACTTTGGTAATTTCTAGCTTTGTTTTTGCCTGTTTGGTGTATATTTGGTAGTCTTATTTTTGCTATTTTGGTGTATTAATTAAAGGGGTGGGGATCCCTTCCTCCCTCAGAGCTGCTGCATGTGGTTCCTTTGGGCCCACTGTGAGACCTGTGTGTGTTTGTGTGTGCAGCCTGGTGAGAAGGGCTCCCCGGAGGCAGAGAGGGAGGCCGAGCGCGACAGGAACCACGTGTCGTTCGCCCGCCACCTCCACACACACCATCACACACACCTGGGCATGAGCTACAACCTGATGTCAGGCCAGTACGACATCTACCAAGGTACGCGGACACCTTCCCTCTGCCTGCGTTCGTTAGGGGCTCTCTGCTCTGAAAAGCTGATTCGCTCCAGCCTTCAGTTCATCTATTTTATTAGCTAAAAAGTATTTTATTGACTAAAATCATGTTCTTTATTTCTAAATGTATCCTCATTTGGTGTAAAATGACCTCTGCAATGATCTGACTTCTCCTCATAAGGAAGAATTTCCTATTTGTACATACACAGGACGGGTAAGTCCAAGGAGGTTTCCATGGCAATCCGCCATTTTAAAAAACTAGAATGGCAGAGAGGGACATAAAGCACTAGTCTACCTATCTAGCTCATCCACAACGCATTTCCCTTCAGAGTCATGTGACTGAACCCAGCTATAAGAAGTGAGCGTTGATAGAAAAATAAACAGATATAGAATATATCACTATTAGTTAGCATAGTTCATGCTAACATATTACTACTGATTAACATAGTTCGTGCTAACATATTACTACTGATTAACATAGTTCATGCTAACATATTACTACTGATTAACATAGTTCATGCTAACATATCATTACTGATTAGCATAGTTATAGCGGGAGGAGAGGTGCATCATGGGAGCCCCCAGAGGGGGGAGAGGTGCATCATGGGAGCCCCCCCTCCATTTTTGCTCCTTGTTTATTTAACCTGTTTGAGGTTAAATAAACTTTCTGTCCCTGTAAAGTCATCAGTCTTCGCCTCTTTTTGTCGATGGTTTCCGCGTTTCTGACCAAAAAAACGTCCCAAACCCGAAAAGGCAGCAGAATGAGCCCCAATCGTTTCCCCCTCTTGACGGGAGACCTCCTGCTCTCTGATTTGTGTTTTCCCTCCTCTCTGTTGAAGGTCTGGGCTCCAGGTCGCTGGTCTCCAGTCAGCAGGTGTCGGGACACTCCTCCTCTGGTAGGTTAAATCCACCAAAACAGGGACACTGTACCAGCATTTACCACTGGCTCTGAACCGTGTTCTGGGGTTTTATGGGCCGGTCTCAGGGACGGGAGTCAGCGTCCAATTAAATCTAAAATGAAAAAATTAAAATCATTAAATTAGTTTAAATTCTTTTTTATTCTGACCCCCCAAAAGTGTTTTGTGGATTCAAAATGACAAGAAACATTCAAAATAAAAATAAAAAATCTTATTAAAAAATGATCACTTCTTTAAAAAAATCCAAACTTATTTTTATTATTAGTAAATATTTAGTTATTATTAGTAAAATAGTAAAAAATATATATTCTTTGGGGCTGGAATTCTTTTATTGGGCTGAATTATTTTTGGGGGGCCACAATAAGGGGTGGAGCTTATCGCCATCCAGCAGGTTGGAGTCCAATCAGTTAACTCCAGATGCTTTGGCGCCACCTATTGGACTGGTTAGCAGCAGGAATTAAGAGTGAAAGGTGGATTTAATAGTTATTTTCTCTATAATTCATTGATGAGCAGCAGCTAATCTAATGAAGACACTTCAGATTTAAACGTTTGCCTACGACAACAAAGTCTTTTGATACTGTAAACGCTTCAGTTGGCTTAAATGGGCTTTTTAATGATTAAAACATGGCAGTGAGTTTATAAATTGAATGTTTTGACTGCTGCCTGACTGGATGAATGGTCACTTTAAAGGAACACTGTGTAGTATTTCAAGTATTTTATCAGCTAAAGTCATGTTCTTCATTTATAAATGCGTCCTCATTTGGTGTAAAATGACCACTTATCAGTAACTGCCCAGTTAAAAAAAAAAACAAATAACCATAAAAACAAGACAATTTTTTTTTAAATTAAATAAGTATATAAAAAATATGCAGTCCAGCAACAATGTAGAAAACAACCAGATCTACAAAATATAACAGATCGCAACACAAAACAAGACTAAACAAAAACACCCTAGAAAGTCTCTATATTTAACCAATCCTGTTCCTGTTTCTAATCAAATATAAGTAGGAGGGAATGTCCTTACGTGAGCTAGATCCCTAAAACTTTCCAGTTTAGAAGCTTGCATACTTCAAAGAAGTTCATAGAAATGTGAGGCTCCTCTGTTTTTCTCTCCAGTCTTTTGGGAAATTACCTGGATTTCTGAATATGTTTGTCTGAGAGAATGCAACATCATCAAAATTCTGAATTACACAAATTATATTTAGTTTTAATTTCATCAGAGGATTTAAATCCCAGGTCTCCGGGTCTCCGCCTTTGTTTATCTGCAGCTGCTAATAACTCCTAAAATAAAGGAGATTAAGAGGAGGATGGAGACAGCTCAGGCAGAGCCTCAAAGATGGCTCACTCAGTTTCTCCCGATCTGGAGCTGCTTCTCAGATCAGTGATCTCTGTATTGTTCTGCTACAAAAGCTGGAAACCATCTCGCCCTTCTTCCTGCTTTTGGGATGTCGTCTTCATCAGCTCCGGCCGGCGAAACTTTCATCCAATCAAAGCCCAAATTCATAAAGAGCCAAGAAGTTTCCTCTGACAGTTTCATTTGATCCTGCAAGAGGAAAAAAACTCAGATTGAACAGGACAAAACCTCCATAAGAACGCTAAGAATGCTCTAATTTAGTCCTTTTTGTGGTCAGTTTTTGCCTTTCTGGTCTAATTTATTTTTGTTGTGATCAGTTTGTGCGTTTCTAGTCAAATTTAGTCCTTTCTTTGATCAGTTTGTGCGTTTCTAGTCAAATTTAGTCCTTTCTTTGATAAGTTTGTGTATTTTTGGTCTAATTTAGTTTTAGTTGTGGTCAGTTTGTGCCTTTCTGGTCTATTTAATTTTTTTTGTGGTCAGTTTGTGCGTTTCAGGTCTATTTTAGTCTTTTTTCTGGTCTAATTTAGTCCTTTTTCTGGTCAGTTTGTGCGCTTCTAGTCTACTTTGTGAGTCACTTTAGATAGAAGCGTCTAAATGCAGAAACATAACCATGATGTGAGACAGTACAGTGCTGAAGTGAGTGACTGTAGCCCAGGTCTAACCGCTTTCTGTCTTTGCCTCCGCAGAGAATGACGGGAAGAAGTAGGACCATGTGACCGCGTCTCACATGAAGAACGGCAGAACATTATCAGACATCAGTTCCTTGGTGTGGAATAAGCGTCGCCTCGCTCAGAGGCAGAGAAGAAGAACACAAAAACAGACCTCTTTCATTTCTTACTAGTGACAGCTCTGGGTTTTGTAACGCCTGGCAGAGGAACCTTACAAAGCGCACATCTATGAGGAGGAGAGAGAAGAGGAGGAGAGGCTGAATGTACAGGTGGCTCACACCTGCAGCGGTGTGGATCATCTTTTTAAACTCCTATCGGGTACAAAAGCAGCATTAGAAAGCTACAAATCTATAATTATCCTTATTGTTCTCATGATTATCGAAGTGGTCCTCCTCCCTCCATAGTGCTGACACCACATTTGTATTACTAACCTGTACTTGAGAGTAACCATGTTGATTGTATTGTCTTTATGTGAGAGTAAACCTTCACATCGATCTACCCAGTGCCATGTAGAAACCCCAGTGGTGTATATATCCTGTACAGATTCATGGCAGAGCACTAATATGCTTTATTGTACAAAACGTGGGTCCCATCGGGGGAGCAGGGGCCGGAGGGGGAATCCAGCAGAAGCAGATGTGGTCATCTTTTAACCTTTATCTCTCAGAGGAAACCTGCTGTAGCTTTAGTGTGATGGATGATAAATATGGTGCTGTAGCAGCAGTTTTGTGGGCAGAGTTTGTGCCTGCTGGGAAGTCGGTTTTGCTCAGATGAAAGTTGCACCGTCAGGGTAAATTTGGGCTCTGATTTCTAACAAACTTTGACTCGAGGAGTGCTGATTTTTAGCCGGATTCACCCATAAGAATGACACAGTGAAGCCTCAGAAGTAGCTCTGTCATCCGATCTTTTAAATCCTTGAGACTAGTTTGTGTCAGGAGGAACACGGTGAATCTACTGATGAATGGACCTGATGGATGTAGGCAATTTGATTCTGTTTTTTTTAATGTGTGGTTGTTTTAATGGGCGTGTTGAGGGCAAAGCAGCTGGTCCACCGGCTACTTTAAGATGTGCGAACTGAAGACAAAACAGCAGCAAGACGCTGCCTCAAAACGTCATAACTAGAAACAAATAACGACCTCATTTTTCTAAATTGAAAGATTATAAAATATACATTTATTTAAAAATGAAGAGATATGTCTGTTAAAACAGCTTGCTAGCACAGCCTGTCTTATGGGCAGTTAATGCTAGATTTTAAATATAATTTTTATTTTAAGAATACTATTTTGTTGTTTCGATATGTATTCAAGAAAGTTATGTATTCTAATGAGTTTCTGATTAGATGGAATTACTACAGCAAACCCAATTGGGTGTAATAAAAACAACAATTGACGCTAGCTAGCCTAGCTTAGCGAATTAGCATCAACTGCTACCTTTGTGACTGTTGAGATTCATGGTGCTGTATTTGATCAAAACTGTCTCTAAATCATACTTTGAATATTCTTGAGAAAATGAATACATTCAACCTCAGATACGGTGCAGTTTGTGCTCAACATTGGTTGAACAGTGAATTCTTTAGTAGGAATGTCAGTTTTAAGATGAGCTCAATGAAGGTTTTATGACTAGCGTATTTTTCCCCACTCTTCTGTTTTCTGGTCTAACTATTTATTTGAACCAGTTTATGTTTTTGCAGCTTATGGACTTTGTAGGAAAGTGCTGCTGCTCACGTTGTGAAAGACAGTCGGCAAAGAACTTCTTAATTCCCCAAATAATTTAAACAATCTAAAAACAGATGAACAAATTGCCGTAATATCGCTTATTTTTGTCATTTTTCTGTTGAAAAAAATCTTTCTTGGAGTTAAAACTTTACACTTCATACAGTTAACTGAATTGTGAAAAACACTCTTGTTTACACAGTGTAGGACATTTAAGCTCAGGTAAACTTGAAGGTTTTTGTTGTTTTTTCGAGTGTCAGCTTAAGCCTCCATACATTTTTGGACGTTTTACATTCTTGTGTTGGGGAGTTTCTGCAACGTGTTTAAGAAACAGTTTACTCGCAGCCCCATTTCTGCAATTGAGATGACAAGATCTTTCCAAACTGAGCGACTTTTACAAGAACCCTGGGTCATTTTTTCATCACTCGCTGCTTTGCCTTCAGTAAATCTTAACATTTTGTGTAGATCTAATAGTGTTCATCTGTTTTTAGACTTCTTCATTTTCAGTTAAAGTGATGCAGAACAGGACTGAGAGACCTGACGTGCTAAAGCTGCCCTCACTTTTTGTATTTGTGGTTGAACTGCTTGCTTCTCTGGATTTTTGGGCTCTGACCCCTGCTCCCATGCTTTCTCTCAGCTGACCAGCTCACTGCAGAGCCTCTGGTGGACACAGTGGGCGGCTTTTACCTCTCTCAGAGGCAGAGAAATGCTTGTTTTATCTGACAGATGATCCCGTTTCTCATTCCGACCATCGATCTAACAAAGATAAAAGTAAGAATAAGCTAATGAAGGAATCCCAGAGCACAGACATGGCTGCAGTACCCATGCACCAGCTTTTGAATGTCAATAGTTATGGGACGAACTGGAGTAAGTGTCACTGGTCCAGCTTGGAGAGTCCAGTTCAGGTAGCTGGAGGGGAAGTTTTCTGTTAGACGCTTGGCCTCTGATCCAAGAAGCCTATTCAGTTTTAAGAGATGGTGGAGCTCTGAGATATATTAATCTGGCTCTGCATTTGTATTGTTTTGCTGCTTGTTCCACATATTTTGGGTCGTTTTTTCTGCTTCTACTAGTTATTTTTGGTTGTTTGCTGCTTCTTTTACTTATTTTTCATTGTTTTGATGCTTCTTTTACTTATTTCTGGTTGATTTGCTTCTTCTTTTACTTCTTTTTCATTGTTTTAATGCTTCTTTTACTTATTTTTGGTTGTTTTGCTGCTTCTTCCACTTATTTTGGTCATTTAGCTGCTAACAACCATTAACCCCCAGGTGACCTCCATGGCCCCCAGCAGGAGGGGCCAGAGCCACCTTTGGTTTCCCCCTAATCTGTATTCCCACCTACAGTACATTAACCTTAGAGCGCCACCATCAGTTAGAGCTGAAGAAGCTTCTGGATCAGAGGACAAACGGAAAACTTCCCCTCCAGCTGCCTGAGCTGGACTTTAAAGCTGGACCAGGTCCTGGATGACTGAGCATCTCCACAGATGTGTTACTGGTGTTGAGGCTGGTTCATGGAGTCCCAGTCTGAGCATAGCAGCAGACTTGCCCGGCATTGGAGATGCAGACATGGGACAGATGTAATCAAATATTACACGTAATCTGCATCTGCACTGAGAGAAAAGAGTAAGTTGGGAAAACCTTCATATCCTACAATGTTCCAGCCTCTGTCAGACTGTCACGTTTTAACCTTGGAAAAGCAAATCGATCACATATTTTTGGCATAGGGTTGTTTGAAAAAATGTTATCATGAAACAAAGGTCTGTCATGCTTCAGTGGCGGAATTAAAGTAATTTACTTGTAGTTTAATGAACTCTGCTGATGTTTGAATACAGACTTTGATTCTGTGAGTTGGCTTTTCATTCCAATTGTGACCCCAAAGAAATGCCCCACTCCCATAATTCGGACAATACAGGACTATGTAAACTCCGTCTGTGATAACGTCCAACTTAAAGGATGCAATGTGTTTAAAACCAACATCCCCAAAGCTCCACGGTGCCTCCCAGTGGCTCTGCCTCTCCCACACAACTCCTTACCTGCATAGTATCAGTGGTCATTCTATTACTTGAATATAGTGCTAAGAGCTCTGTTTACAAATGCTCGACTTCTGGGAGACGCGGAGTCGTCTCATGAAGGCTGCTCGGTATGCTCAGTCCATCCAGCTGGTGAAACCAGAAAATAACTCACAGAAAACACATGAAACCTGCTGTTGCTTTTTTATACTGTACATGCCTTAATTCATATGTTTGGCAATCATGATTAAAGGATGTTTTTATATAGTTGTTTTGTGTATTTTTCATTATTTTTGCTGCATTTTAACTGTATTTTATATTAGTAGAAACACTCATTCTGGGATAACTGTCTTTCCCAGAGACATTTCAAACCACTTTATGGGGCCCTCGATGTTTTTTTTCTGCAGGGCTCTGCTTTAGGTTCTGCTGTACATGCATATTAGGTAACTATACTAAGGATTCTTCATCCTCTGTTATTTGTTATTGTTGTAATTATCCATCCATCCATTAACTTCTACAGCCAATTTCCGAGCCAAATAGTCTATCTAGTATGCATGTTTTGCTGTGTTGTTGCAGTTCCGCCTCCAACCAGCAGGGCGGAACCAGAGTGGCGGACGTCACTTTACTCTCACTTCCGGTTTTAAGACAAAATGGGTGGCGCCAAAGCTTGACAACAAAGCGGTTTTTTGCAACGGCAGTTACTGGAAGCTCTTGCCTAAACAGTTTTTCCTCCTAAAATCAGTCGTAGAGCAACAAAACACTAAAAGGCAGAGATTAAGTTGGAGGGAAAGTTTCTCCCGGAGCCGGACAAATGTCAACATGGCGGCGAAAAAAAAAAAAAAAAAAATCGTTGTGTCCATTCTGGAAGGTGAGCACTTCGAGGAGGCAAAAACCGGCTTCCATTGGGATTTCACGGCTTCTTCCTCCCACGGGCCGTGGATTTAGTGACTTTTTGTGCTTTTAATAGAAACACCAGGCGGGTTTTAGTCCCGTGTTAAGCCGGTTAAATCCACGTGGAGCGCCGTTAACTGTTCAACGGCGAGTTTTAAAGGCAAAACGAGACTTTTTTTCTGTTCTTTTCTGTTTCAAATCACGAAGAAAAACACTTAGAAACCAACAAACTCGCGTCTGTTTTTGGGTGGTGGGTCGGATACTTAAATATTTTAAAGGTGAAACTTCGTTTAAGACATTTATTAAAGAAAACGTGGAGATAATTAGCTTAATTTGGTCCGTTTCTTTTGACGTTCTTTCACTTTGGGCCTAAAATATACAATATATGGCTGTAGCATAACTATAGTCGTTTTATATTCAGTGTGGAATTTCCCCTCAAAAGCATTTTTGTATTTATATCTAATGTAAATTATTGTAAAAGTCTGAAAATATTAAATCCAAATGTCTCAAAGCTCAAAAGCTTTTACGTCAGCATCCTACAGGCAGCTGTTAGATAGCTGGAAGTGGGGTCATACGGGGGTCATCTTCTTAGGATGCCTCCTGATTCCAGTCTGAGATGGATGGATGGAAACTTTCCGGCAGGTGTTCCTGGATCTGTGGAGTCCCCCCCCCTCCCCTCTTGCCCTCTCTCTCGCTCTCTCTCTTGCCCTGTCTCTCCCTCTGTCTCTCTGTTACCCTCTTTCTATTTCTCTTGACCCCCCCCCCCTTTGGTTCTGTTCTAGGTTTCTTTCCCTTAAAGGCAGTTTTCCCTTCCTTGTGTCTCCTAGTGCTGCTCTTGGTGGGAATCGTTGGTCTCCTGTAAATAACAGTCGGTCTGAGCTGCTCTGTTTGGAAAGCTGTCAGAAACCTGCTGTTGTCGTTTGGTGTAAATAAAGACTAAACCCGCCTCCACCTCCCCACCCAGGGCGCCACTTCCCAAAGAGCCCCCGGCTCAGCCTGGTGGTGCAGGCCAGCTTCGACGGGGAGCAGCTGGCCACCGACCCGGTGGAGCACCGGGAGCAGCCGCGCTTCAGCACCGAGCTGGCCTGGGAGCTGGACCGCCGGACACTGCACCAGCACAGGTCTGAGCTGCCCGCCCCCCAGCGCATTAATCCCACCGGGGGGAATCAGAATTGGGAAGACCGTATGTTGCACTATAAAGCACACTGGACTATAAGCCACATAGAGTAGAAGCTCCTGTAGGGTCAGTGTTTAGGGTTGTCAAAAGCATCGATACTAAAACGTTGTATCCGGATACTAGGGATGTCCCGATCCAGCTTTTTGCACTTTCGATCCGATCAGATCCCGGCCTATCAGAGCATGTGTTAAAGTTTAAAGTGATTTATCTACTTACTTAGCTATCAGACTCATGTTGAACAGGGATTTACTCTGATAACAACTTAATGGTTAGGACACAGACCTGTGGGTTAGGAAATGCTAATGCTCATGTGGAATCGGACTTTAAAAAAAAAACTGGATTTGCAGTTTCTCATGCTGTTCAATACGCATTTTTTGGCAAATACTGGCAGCTCATCAGATCCACATATCGGATCAGGACAGGCCTCCTGTATGGTCAGGGTTTAGGGTTGTCAAAAGTATAGATACTAAAATGTTGAAATACATTCAGTTTCAGAAGTGTTTTCAGCCTGGATTTAAACATTGTCAGAGTTAGGTTCTGTCTCACGTCTTTAGGAAGACTGTTCCAGATTTTAGGAGCCTGGAGCTGAAATGAAGCTTCACCTTGTTTGGTTCTGACTCTGGGCCCCAGACCAGAACCTGGTTCTCAGAGTCCAGCTGGTCCAGTAGAGGCTGGGGGTGCATTAGCATCCACCAGATGCAAGAGAACGTCAACTAAACAGTCAGATATTCAGTCAGACTTTATGAACAAACACAAACCAGCGTTCTGAAGACTCCGTTCACTCCCAAAATGAACAAACAGCTGTTTGATTATTTTTCCCGCGCTAGTGTCAGTCACATGGTGTTTTATCTTTTAACAACAACGAAAGCTAAGGTAAGAGTGGAGCTGGATTTTAAAGCCTATTCTAGAATGTAGCATCAAGCTAAGCTAAGAGTGAAACCCAAAGTTACTTTGGATAAAAGCGTCTGTTAGATGCAGCAATATAAATGTAATCCACTCTAATTCTTTTGTTGGGCTGGTTTGTAACCGAGGAA